AAAGGTCTTGAATTTGGCTGGAAGTCCTGAAATATATCCTGCTATTCATCTATAACGGTCTGATTTGTACTACCCTCATACTGTTGACAGCGTCAGTGTCATATTTTTGAGAGTATTTTTCTTGTCTTTATGTGAGCGAATTCTTCATCGAGCGTATTAAGACTTAGACCCCACGAAAAAACCTTTAAATTATGCAAAAGTCCAATGTATTCAATGCCATCATTTCTTATGTAATACCCAAGATGAAGTTCTGTAAGAGTTGATCGCCACGGAGAAGCTCTAATCACGCTGAAACTGAAAAGCAATGGTATTAGTAAATATGTCCATAATAATATCGAAGTGTCGTATGAATCGACCTTGAAGATAAATGATCCTCAAACAACAGATTCCAAAGTACGATGTCACAAGACTATTTTCAAAAATGATCAAATTCGATAGCTAGCGTGTAATCTGTGCAGGGAAGAAGACTTAGCCATCCCGCCATAAATACGCAATAAATTCAGCGGACGTTTGCAAGCCGGCAATTTTGGATAACTTTCCGAACTATATGCACTTACGTCACCACCACCAACGAAGAAATTTTGTATCTTTGGAAAAATGTTTTCATCTTCAAATAACATTTTCAATGTTTCTTTCCATTCCTCTGCCTTATTATCACACTTTGAACTCTAAAAAACCAATAAGCAAATAAGCTCGTGAATATCAACAACGATATTACTGAATCCTGAATTTTAAAAGTGCTCTCAATAAACGGCGTTTAAACTGTAATGTTAAACATTGAAAACTTAAATACTGAAAATAGCGAACTTAAAAGTAACAAAATCTGTTCAGTTAATGTACCAAATATTATCGAACTATACTTGCGAATGAGATATTGCATGCAATTTACAATATAAGCCATACTCACTGCATTTCTCATTCATATGCAGTATTTCAACATTCCGGAAACAATCTGATAATTTTCTCAAAAGTGTAACATTCATTTCTGCAAAAAAGTTGTCATGTAGACATTAAAATATTGGAATTTCAGGAAAATTAGATTTCTTGATTTATATCATCTCCTCTTTTTATACCAACTCTTTTGTCAAATAAGTTGATTTCAATTTGTACCCTTGAAAGAGTCAAAATCCAGATGGACACGACGTTGGGAAAGCAAATGTCAAATAATCTGTCAATTTCGACAGATGGCAAAGGCACTGGATAATTAATGCACAATTTTCGAAGATACTACAAGGTCTGAAAATATAGAAAAGGGGAGAACAGATATTTACATCCTGACTCATCAATTAGCAAAAGTGGAAAAGAGAAGGAAGTAATTTCAAAGTAAGATTTCAAAGACGATTCAATGATAAGTCTGTCCTCGTGGCTTCAATTAATTACAACCCATAAAACACGGAAAAGTTCTCTCATTGATTATCAGATATTTTAGGTAAAAAAAAAAAATTGCACAAAACTTACCTTATAGAAAAACGTTTTCACACTGCCATATTTCAACAAAAAATCGTTAACTAAACCCGAACTTCGGTCAACCAAATGGAATAATTCGTCAAATGATTCCAACGGCGACAAACTAAAGAAAAACTATGGATCAAATCAGTTGGATGACAATAACCAAATATTGTCAACAGTATATCATCCGACAAATCGTTAACTACGCTGAATGTTTCCTTAGTGAATTACTTACAGCTAAAAAAACTTTCATTTGGTTTTTTTGCAATATCTTGTAAGACTAAACTATACTTTCTAACATTGTCTGTTAAAAAATACCTTCTTGACATTTGAATCGGTCGTAAACTCACCGCCGTCCAATTCAGTCCCTGATTGAAATCTGAAAATTTTCTATTTTATTGAGGAGTACGATTTGTTATGCCAAATACGAAATGTGAACCACCTGGGACTTCTGCTTGGTGTCATTGCATCGAGCAGATGAATAAGTTGTATCAATGAGTAATATGTTTGCATCTGATGAGCATTGGTACTACAACTAATTAAAAATCAGATAAAAATATCCTATACAGTCTGTTATTCAATGGGAATACAATCTGACGGAGGAATATTATTCCATGGATGGAAATCCTGTGATGATACTTCCCGTTTCTCAAATCTCTCTACAATAACACAAGAAAACTCACACCCATATTACCTGTCTATCATGTCATATTTAAGCGATATAAGCCAATACCGCCCGGGCGATTCCGTTATTGCATCCATTCTAAAAAATTAGCATATATATATGTATTCTGAGCTTCAAATTGAGTAATTATGTCCAAATCATTTCAAAGTTTTAATAGGTCCAGAGTGAAAAAAACAGAACGAACTTCTAGCGAATGAACATGAATGAGACATTTGACAACCGCATGTGAGCCATGACGACTCATTCAAAGATGTCCAACACTTGCAGCACTAATAGTTTTCAAAATTTAAAGTTAAAAAAAAAACGGAATGAAATGAGTAAAGGAAATCAGAAATAGAAATGGAGAAATAAATTGAATCAAAATGTCGTAAGTGGGAAGGACAAAAATTACCCGTAAACATTTAATTTTCCCTCAGTTATTTTTTGAATAAATATGTTCGGGCATTAGGTGTAATTCCTTGAAAATTCCGAAAAACCCATAATCCATTGAAATGCATTTAAAACTTAAACCTAACCAAATTCCACACCTATCATTCATGACCTTAGACCTTAATCAATAGTGTTAGAATTGAAAACAAGATGAAGAGGAAAAGACTATCCCATCTATAAACGGATGGTGAACATCGTTTCTCTTTATTATTATTACTGTTATTATTATAATTTGAAATGGATTAATCATTATTTCCCTTTTTCCATGAATTCAATAAATCAATCTTAGATCATTCTGAAAGTTATCAAATCCTATTAACCTATCAATTTTTATCATAAAAAATTGAACTACTCGGTCTCATATAATGTAAATAACAATGAAAAAAAAAGTTAAATTGAATGAATTAAAAATAAATTTACCACAAATCCATTTCATTTGATACATTTAAAAATATTTTGTGAGTTTCGTTCCGGATTTTCAATTTTTTTTTTTTATTTGATATATCAAATGAACAATATTTCTGATACCTCTATTTCTTCCGTACAGAGGATGAAGAATGGGATGAGATAGAAGTGACAAAAGATACGAAATGTTAATAAGAGACTTTAATTTACTGGTGAAATCGAAACAATTAATTGGTAAGAGCTCAAATATGCACCTTTTATAGCATTCTCGGATGCAAGAATATTGTCATCAATGAGGGCGAGAGAGAGAGAGAGAGAAAGGAAAA